TAACATTTCCTACTTTTAAAATTCATTTCTAAAACCAAGCTCAGCCAATCCACACACAGGAGTTATCACATCTCATGAGTCATGCAAAATCACAGTTCAGGTTTTTGGACAACAGTTCCCAAACCCCCCAACTCTACTCCAGAGGCACCAAGTTACTTTATGGGAAGAGAAGTTAAAGATATTTCTCTGCAGTTCCATGAACAAGCTTGGGATAAACAAAAGGAAAAAGTGTTCCCAAGGGTTCCAAAATTGAAACAAGATTTGCATGTGAAAAACTGATATTATTGTGCCCTCTTGATCACCCATTTCAATACCACCACCCAAATATGCAAGCTACAACCAAACTATTCTGATCTGAAGCAAGAATTAAAGTTGAGAGTTTGAGAACTGCATCACCAGAACAGCTAGAAGAATTAGTATAGGTGCTTTTTTCTAACTAAATTACTAGCTCTTATGAGCTGCCCCATTTTCCAAACTCATGCACAGAACAAACTGACTTTAATTGGACAAGAAAGCCACACTCTAAACGCCAAAAAAGCATACAGCCTATTGTTTGCTCTCTACCAACCCAGCAATTGAGTCTAGGTGGATGACATGAGAGGTCTTCTGCTACAGACCAACAGCAGAGCTGTAGCATGAGTGCGATCCTGCCACCAGTCCTACTCCAAGATCTCCTCCCTCACCAGCAGACGGCATGAACTGTAGAGCTGGAGAGTTCAAACTCTCACAGTATACACTAAATATTAAAAGAAATTGAGTCATGAGCTACTTTCCCACTCACATTTGTGATGACACTGATCACTTCCCCCTGTGGTAACTACAGCTATTGCTTAGGCAGGAAAATAGTATTAGGCAGTATTTTTTGGTCATCTTTACCCCAATAATGGTTTGTCTTTTGAAGAAAAGGAATCACACTGCATGCTTATGTTCTTATATGATTTTAGCCCCCTGCCACCTGTTCTTTTCTCAGCTTAAATAAGAATAGCCAACACAATGTAAACCAGCCAGATCTCTGCTGACTGCCAGTAAGTGGCCTATGGACCCCAATTTGAGAACTTCTGCTCTAGAATACATCCCAATATGAATGAACAGAATCCTAGTCAATACATGCATCAGCTGAAGGCCAGCCTGAGCCTGGATCCTGTGAGTAACCCACAGATTTCAAGAAATATGAAAGTCACAGGAATCTACAAAAGACTATGAAAAGCTCAGCAGTTCAGCTTGTATCAGCTCTTATAATTTAGAGCACCATGGCAGTCCAGGGCTTCTGTACAGAGGCAGAATTCTCTCCCATCTGAAGAAGGGAAATACAGTACTATGGAACTCAGGCAACAGAAAATTTAAGTCATAATTTATTTTCCCCAGTACTAGAACAAAAGCAACCAGGTCACAGCACATAAGATTAAGTGAAGGAATTTTTTTTAAAAGCCCTTATTACTTCTGGCTCCCACTACTCAAACCCTTCAATATTACACAGCTATCCTGCATACTTCAGCAAGTTTCCTCTCTTTTGGGGCTCTAGGGGATAAATTCAAGTTTAGGCTATCCAAACTTGCTTGCCATATTATTCATACTGTCTAATCAAATCACACAAACCCAAACACCATTGCCCTACCCCCACTCACTCCATCTCCTCCTCCCTCTATCATTCGCTCTCCCCCAACCTCACTCACTTTCACTGGGCTAGGGCAGGAGGTTGGAGTGCTGAAGAAGTGTGGGAGGGGGTCCAGGCTGAGCCTGAGGTAGGGAGTTGGGGTGCGGGCTCTGGAAGGGCTTGGGTGTGGAAGGTGGCTCAGGGCTGGGGCAGAGGGTTGGGGTGTATGCAGGAGGGCGTGCAAGGTGCGGGCTCTGGCCGGGCGGCACTTACCTTGGGCAGCTCCTGGGAAGTGGCGAGCATGTCCGGCTCCTAGGCTCAGGGGCAGCCAGTCGGCTCCGTGTGCTTCCCCTGCCTGCAGGCACTGCTCCCGCAGCTCCCATTGGCCGCTGTTCCCAGCCAAGGGGAGCTGCAGAGTTGGCAGTCGGGGAAGGGGCAGCATGCAGAGATCCCCTGGACGCCCCTCTGCCTAACTAGATATGCTAATCGCTTCTGGGAATCGTGTGGAGCGCCAGGGCAGGCAGGGAGCCTGCCTTAGCCCCACTGCGCCGCCAGACTTTTAGTGGCCTACAATATCCCGGATTGGCTTCAATAGCCTCCTGGAGATTGAGCCCAATTCCAGGAGACTCACGGCCAATCTGGGAGGGTTGGCAACCCTATTCATACCCAAAAATACAAAACCTGTAAGACGCTGGGTATTTGTGCACAAAGGATTTTCAAAACAAAGAAGAAACTGAAATATTGTATTGATCCTAAATACAGTAGTAATATTTCTGTATTGATTTTCAAATACTTTAAGCAAAGTTAAACTAAAATGTGTAGTAGTCTAAGAAAATTAGATACTGTACTTAGATAAGGTTTTGGCCCCAAAAGAGAAACTTTTAATTGTGCTTACAGTTTGAAAAACACTTCTAACACAATAGCTGTGGTATAAAATAGAAACATTAAATGATACTTCACATTCTGCCTATAATCAAGGTACACATTTGTCAAACTTAATTACTACTGTAAGTATTAATCTGGCAAGCAATGCTGAACAGTGGAAAAATGTACTTAACATTAACATCAGTTCTGAGGAGAATTCACAACATTTTAGATTTATGGCTTGCCTACTCTGCCCTGCAGTTCAGACATTGGAAGTGTGAATAGCAGTGCGCACCGAAGTGCTGCACTGTAATTCTCCCATGTGATCCGAGTGAGCATGAACTAAAAAGTTCCTAGTTCAGATTAACGTTGTCCTATTCAAACAGGACTACGTTAACACAAACCAGGAAACTTTTAGTTCGTGCCCACAGGATCCGCCTGGGGGAATTACAGCACAACACTTTGGCGTGCACTGCTCTTCACACCCCCACAGTCCAAACCGCAGGATAGTGTATCTGTAGCCTTAACGAACTTAGAAAAACCTACTCTATAGATCTCATTTTTAAAGCATGTCAAGGAGGTCCAACACCACACACTTAAAGTTGTCTGCATTCCTCCCAGTTTACCTTTATCTCTATATTTGCTAAATGTTCATAATAGAGGAAAGGTGCAGGATTCTCATCATTGCAAATAAGGTACCATGACCACAGGAGGAGGAGGAGCAGGGAGTTTCTTCAAACGGGCCCTACATTGTGGTTGACATTTGACGTACAAGGTGTGAACAAAGGCCTTGGAAAGGAGAGTACCCTCTCCCAGGGAGAAGTTCAATTCTGAATTATGTCAAGTATCAGAGGGGTAGCCGTGTTAGTCTGTATCCACATGCATTTGAAGAAGTGGGTTTTTTATCCACAAAGCTTATGCCCAAATATATCTGTTAGTCTTTAAGGTGCCACCAACCTCCTCGTTGTAATTCTGAATGAGCAAAGAGAGATCCAACATTGTTGCAGGCTGTAAAGTAGCTCACTTTATACTCATCTCCAGATAGAAACACATTTTCCATATTATTGATTATGTCCTGGAAAAACAGCTGCTTTTGATTACTTATTTTTATGGCCCAAATACTGCTGTAAGATTTTCTTTTTGCTTTTATGGGTTACCAAAAAGTTTTATCAAGTAAAAAAAAAAAAATTCTTGAATTAATTTAAGCATTCCTTTATTCTCACTAAAGAAAGGAAAAATTCTAAATGAGTTTTACTTTGTTTTTGAAGGGAGGTGATTAGCTCAAAAAATGACTTCAGGAGAAAAAAGTCACATCCCACTGGACCATTCTGTATGTAACAGGCCCTTATGGAAATTCATTGAGTATTGGAGTCTTTACCAAGTAAATGACAATCTTTTAAAGAATTGTTTATGCGGAGGGAAGAAGATCAAAAGCTATATCTTCCCCCTAGATATAATAAACTACCCCACAAAAAACATTAGTGCATCTTGTGTCATGAAAACTTCACATATAAGCTTAGATGATTTTTTTTTCTGTAATCTTAAACGATAATATTTTAAGTTATTTTTATTGATTTAAATTTTCACAGTAGCGCAAAATTATGGTTTCAGCATTTTTCTGATTTTTATCTATTTCAATTTTCAGTCGTGGGAGGTGTAAGATGATTATTTAATGATAGTAGATGTTGACATTCAAAAAATTAAAAGTTTTATAACTTTTAAATATTCAAATTGTCAACATCACATGTCAAAATATACAAAGTAAATATCTGTAAATCAAATTCTAATGAGTCATCAAACAGCATTTTTCTTACTTTGCCTATCTGTAAATTTATCATCAGAAGCGATGGAAAGATTTTTTTGTCTGTTAGTGTTTGTATGGTGAAATCAATGTTCAACATTTACCAATAAAAATCTAGTTCTTCCAAGCCTGCTCATATATAAAGGCTTCAGCAGTTCATCATCTTCACTATTTTACTTAGTATGTTAACATAGTTGTTTAAATACGGTAGCACCTATAGACCTCCATCGGGATTAGGGCCCCACAGTCCTAGGTGCAGTATGGAAGTTGACATGGTCCCTGCCCCAGAGAGCTTAGAATCCTCGATGGAAAGTACTCATTGTCCTTGAAAAAGTCCTCGGAATCCCTACCATTCCTCCTACCCCTTATCTCATGAAGCAGCACTTCAGTTACCAATCACTGACTGGAAAAAGAAAGCTAGTCTGCCCTGCTCATACGCTGATCAGCAAGACTGACAGGAATGCCCTCTACTACCTTACCCCCCCAATAGTGAGTACCAAGTCCAGGAATCAAACATTTCTTCCATGGTAGTGAAAAGTACTACTACAAGGTTACCAGGCAGGCCCTGCTTAACAAGTGTTGGTACATTTTACCCCTGCTGATAGGATATAAAATTTACTTTTAACACGCACTGACCAAAAAGTACCCACAATTTAAGATACAAACTCAAGATCAATGATCCTAAAAAAACCTCCACGTTTATTTAATTTGAATACATTCAATCACATTGATGTTACTCACCGAAGTTCTGTCGGGTTCCCCTTCAAATAAAACAGTCTCCATGTTGAAAGAGGCCTTGTCTCAGTATTTCTTTCAATTAGAGTTCCTCCATGCTGCAAACCTGCATATCCTGGAAGAGAACAAATCAATCATCAGTGGCTGAAATTAATTAACACTGCAACCAGATATCACTAGTGTTCTTTAACAATAATACACTAGAGCAGTGCTCAACAAAAATAATGGCTTAACTGCTACCATATGCCATTTATATCATATGTCCTCAAAGATTCCACATACTACCTGTACAAAGGGCCTACATTAAAGGAAAATTAAGGTTGCAAAGTAAAGCGCCCAAAACTCAAGAAATGATCACATTAAGCTTGGCCTATCTTGCACATGCATTGTGATAGTCTTAAAATATAACATGTCATTTTCCCCACAGGATCACACTCGTTCAAGGCATAGAGCTGACAAAGGCCAGTGAATAAACAAAAGTCAGTAAGCAAAAACCAGATTCTTCTGTATCTTTTTACATCCTCTTAGTTCAATGTGTAGCTCCAGGCCTCAATTACTGAACAACATCCAATCCCTACAGTGAACAAGGAATGGTTTTCTTTTACAAGCTTTTCTGTAGCACTCAATTTAGTCAGAAATTTTTATGAATTTTTAAGATCTCCACTACAGTTTAAGCAGTAGCCTAAACAGACCCGAGGCACAGAGACTAAGTGACTTTGCCACTTATGGTGCCATTTCTGGACGAGCTGGGGACTGGATCCATGTTTTTTAGGTTCCAGTCAAAAGACACACAGGATCATTCCACCCCCTTCCTCAGGACCACTGCCTTATTCTCTATATATGATGCAATCTTTTGTATGGAACAAGGAAAGGGTGCTATGATACCAGGCTTGTTCACACCACAGTATAAAACCCTCAAAAACAGACATGAATTACTCTGGACCTAAGTTCCTTGTAAGCTGCACGGCCATGGAGCCATGCAGCAGCCTATTTAGCGCTGCACAGGCGCTCAGGGAACCCACCCGGTGACCTGCCGCGGCCGGGGTGCCCCTCCACCAACCCAGCCCCAGGCGCAGTGCAACCCGGCCCCAGGCACGGCCCGGGCACCCCTTTCCCGGCCTAAACCCAGCCCTGGCCTGGACCTCCTGAGGCCGCGAAAGGGGTGCCTATCCTGCAGCCCCAGGCCAGGTGCTGCCATGGCGGAGAGAGGTGCCTCTCCCCCCCAGCCCAGGTGCTGCTGCGGGGGCGGGGAGGAGAGAGAGTGCGAGCTGGGAAGAGTTCTCTCCCTGCCATTCCCCCAGAGCACCCTCCTGCACCCCAAACCCTCATCCCCAGCCCCACCCCAGAGTCCGCACCCCTAGTCAGAGCCCTCACACCCTTGCACCCAACCCTCTGCCCCAGGCCTGAGCCTCCTCCCACACTCCAAACCCCTCAGCCCCACCCCCACCAAATGAATTTTGTTATGTGCACCAATATGGAGGTGACGTGTCACACATCACCTCCATATTGGTGCACATAAAATTCATTCCGCACATGGGTGGAAAAAAACTAGAGGGAACACTGCTCTGGACCCCCATTCACTGTTTAATGTACACAAGAAATTGAGGCCAGGTGTGAGGGAGAGAGATAGCATACAAGATCATGTAATTTGAGACAGTATCAGTACGTCCATACACAAGGACAGAAATTCCACCATGAACAATTGTTAGGCAGTATCAGAACATTCCGTAAAGTTTTTTTGTTTTAAAGTTATATAACTACAGTATGCATTAGTTAAAATTCCTATAGGAATCATGTACAAAACTAACAGTTATTTGAATAAATCCATTGCAATATTAAAATCAGAGAACATGTTAAAAGTAATGAAGGCATGGGTTACTGTTGCCATTGCACTCTTATATCTTCTATTGTGGCTAGAAATTGCAAGACTAATGCTCTTTATTAGAGGATCACAGGATTGAAGCTGATCTTACAAAAGTGGTGCAGTGACATGCCATATAGCTGGATTACTCAAGACAGTGTGGCAGCTTTATGTTTTGATGTTATTGTCTGAAGTATTGAAAAATCTATACATAGTACTTGGCTAAAAACTTTTCCTTTAAAAGACACACTGGTCCTATTTCCCAACACACAGAAAGGTCACAAGGAGTCAACTCAAGGTGGTGCAGAAGGCAAAAAGTTATTTTTAAAAAATTAACAAATAAAAGTAAAAACTCATTTTAAGTTACTTGGGGTGAAAAACAATTCATTGACAAATGAAGCATCTTTCAGCAGCTTCAGTTCAAGAAGTTACATCTGTGCCAAAGCTCTCTTTTATACACAGTATACAGGGAATTCAGATTAACAAAATACCAAAAATTCATTTTTGAAAAATTGCCATTTACCCCCCAACAACTCCTTAGAAACAAGACAATTTTGTTCTTTACCATTTTTATCTCTATCTCCAGCTACCATTTTATGCTGTTATTGTGTATTTCATCAGTACTAAGCTATCTGAAGATATTTAATTTGCAAAAACACTAAAATGTTTAAAGTGATACAAAAAAATCAATTTCCAGATTACATATATGTTTAAAGCAGTCTTTTCACATTCATAAATTTGTAAAAATATTTAGTTATCCAACAATAGTGGATGTCTGACTCAGAATGTACAGTATTTGTTTTAAAGCAAAACTTTAGACTTATCTTTATAATGTGTTTTTCAGTGAGTGTGAGACCAGACTTTAGCACACAACAATTATGTTCTCATCCTCTTCTCTTCTCTGTGCACCCACAATCTTCCAGGCCTCTTCCTCTATAGAGGCACTAACAGTAGCAGCAGCAAATTCTCCAACACCCACCAACTTTATCTTCTCCCTGAGATCTGCAGAGGAGTCCCTGGGTCTGAAACATTCTTCTTGGCTGCGCACTGCCCTGTCTGGCTGTAGCTACCCCATGGGTCCCAGGCAACTGATATAGGTAGGATATGTGTTGGGGGCAGTTGTAGGGGAGAGCTCTCCTGTAAACCTTTGGAGACTCCTCCATGGGTCCCAGGAAGCAGGATCATGGGAAGTCTGGAGAGCAGAGGCAGCTAGGCCTGGGATAGTATATCCTCTTCCCTCTGCTGCCCCTCAGGATTTTGATGTAGGAAGCAAGGCCAGAAGTTGACCAACAAACAATGCAAGTGATTATACACTAAGTGTTGTCAAATGCACACAGTCAACAAACTGAAAATACTGTAAAAGTTTCTTCTTCTTCTAGTCTTTCAGTTATATCAGTATGGCAAACCACAGAACATTCAAAAATTCTAAGTCACAACATACACGGCCAAATCATGAGATTTGCTTAAGAGTTATGAGATTTTTAAAAAAATATATTTTGAGTCATTTGCCTCTCGCTTTTGATTCTTTAGGGTGCAGTTGGGTCACATTTTCAAGCTTTACTCCACAACCATGAGAACAATATATTAATATAAACAGCCTGTCACATAATCAAGTATAGCAAAACCTGAGACAACAATGAGAGCTGGCAACCTATTACAGTCCTTTTTGGAGTTACTTGCGACAGCAGTAGATATAAAATATGATTTTCAAGAGAGATTCTTTTGATTACTAGTAGGAAAATTCCACTCAGAGCTCCTTGGAGAAAAGGGAGGGCAGTCTACATTTACTGAGATGGATACGGTAATGAAGACAATAAAGGGATTCTGATTTTACTCAAATTTACTGAAATGTCATCAGAACTCCCCGACTATATAGCACATCAACTATTTTCTTTACCCTTCAAAAATGCTGCTTGGCCCAACAATGGTCTCACATAGCAGGCCACTGTTATATAAAAAATAATAGTTTGAAGCTTTCAAATTTTGCACCGACCACTTATTTTGGGTCCACAGGAGGTCTTCTGTAGGATTTGGTTTCAAAATGCTTATTTAAAAATACGTTTCCCAGACCTGAAGAAGAGCTCTATGTAACCTCAAGAAGCTTGTCTCTCTGATCCACAGAAGTTGGTCCAGTAAAAGACATTACCTGACCCACCTTGTCTCTCTAATATCCTGGGACCATCATGGGTACAACAATGCTGCATATTTAAAAATATAATTTACTCTGTTTTGCCCCAAGAAGCTCAAAATATTTTAAAAGTTCAATGATTTAAACCTCAGCCACCATGTGAAATATATAAATATACATTCTACAAAGAGGCACAGGTTAAGTGCCTTGGCCAATGTCACATACAGCAAGTCTGTAGAAGTGCAAGGAAGAGAGATCCAAGATTTTCTGGCTCACAAGTATATCTTTGTATATTTTAAATAAAATGTGTTCATAATCTGTGGATACACCACAGATTTGGAGCTGCTTTGTAATTTATGTATACTATATTTTGGCCTGGCAATTGAGGTGTTCACTGTATGACTATATAAATTTAATAGGCGGCTATTGGGAAAAACAAGCAGGAAGGAAAATAATGGCTCAAGATAGCCACTTCTCAAACACTTCAGAATTGTTAAGGGACAATGCCACATCTATTAGCTTTGATGATTTTACTCTGGCTCCAGCCAACCTACACAACTGGTTTTGACCAGAATGGCCAAAGCCCAGGAATGCAAAAGAACAAAAAAGAGTGTTCTCAGTTTTAAAAAGGGACCCTCTCTCAAGAGAATGATGGTAGGTGTTTCGGAGGAACCAGTCTGAGACATAGGAAGCCTGTTGGAGATGTCTGAAGAAGTTGGGCCTGCCTAGGTCACCAGCAGGGGATAAGCCTTTAGGTAAGAGACATGCACACAGACTCTTAAAATCCTCTCTAAAAGCTTTGCTATTACCTCAATAGTTCTGTTTTAAGAAGACTGTCTGATCACTGTATACCATTGGTGAGACTCCTCAAGGGAAGAGCCAGAGGTGCCCAAACTCAAACATACAGCATAAGAACAGTTGTAGCCTAGGGATCAGTCTAGAGTGAGAAGTATCAGAAGAATTGCCATGTTAGTCTGTATCCACAAAAACAACGAGCAGTCCAGTGGCACCTTAAAGACTAATAGGTCAGTATATTTATGCCTGCATCTGTAATTTTCACTCCATGCATCTGAAGAAGTGGGTTTTTTACCCACAAAAGCTTATGCCCAAATAAATCTGTTAGTCT